CAGATTACAAACCTTAACCAACCATATCAAATTTGAATAGATTAGACTAGAATGGCAAGAAATATGCACATCATAAATGGGGACTCTAGTTGGTGGATCCAAATTAAACGCAGACGGGAGGTCTCTATGTAGGGTCTTTTCTTAAAACACGGGAAAAGTTAACATCCATGGCAAAAAAACGGGAAAAATGTACCGTTTCTAAGAAAACGAAATTCGGAAGAACTTATTCCGAATAGATGGGTGTATCTCCATTCGGAAACACATGTTGAGAAACCTTTTTTTTTCTTTTTGTAGTCCCCATTCGGAAGATGGAGTTCCAAATCAAGTTTTTAATTTTTTTTGTTATCCATTCGCATGATGGAGTTCCAAGTGGCACTTTTAATTTTTATTAAGTCATACAAAAATAAAATTATTTTTAATTAATAAATAAATTGTACCCCTTTCAAAAATATATATAAATTGGACATCTTAGAAGCTGTTCTCTTCGTCTGATCTGAATGTTTATGATCTGAATTTTTAAAGATCTGATCTGATCTGATCTGAATTTTTCTGATCTGATCTGAATTTTTCTGATCTGATCTGAATCTTTCTGATCTGATCTGAATGGTTCTGATTTGATATGAATGGTTCTGATTTGATATGATCTTATCTGATCTGAATCCTTCTGATCTGATCTTAACTTTCTAAACCGGTATATAATAATATTAATACTACTAATAATAATAATTATAATAATAATAATATCAATAATAATAATAATAAAATAATAATAATAATATCAATAATAATTATAATAAATTAATAATAATAGCTATTATTATTATAATTATAATTATTTAATAATAATAATAATAATAAATAATTGGAAGTGCCGTTTTAAAAAAATAATCAGTTCCGAATTGGAAATGTGATGTCCGAATTAGTGATGTCCGAATTAGTGATTAGGGGGTTGGCTTTTTGGTATTTGCAAATGTGATGTTCGAATTAGTGATTAGGGGTTGGCTTTTTACCCATTCGGATTTCCAACTTCCTAATTCGAAGTGCCGTTTTAAAAAAATAATCAGCTCTTCATTCCGAATTGGAAGTTCCGATCAAAATTTGCTGCAGGCAACCTAATTCATTCGGAATTGTGTATTCTGAATCCCGTGTTTTCGTACCCTAAAAGGAATTCCCGTGTTTTTGCATGCCTTGTTCCAAACCCCGTCTTTTTGTCATTCCCTCCTCTATGTAGGGGTGGGCAAAAATCGTGATCTCGGCATCTCAAATCGAAAAATCCTAATTCCGTTGTGAAACTATCATGATACATTTAGGAAGCAATTTTTTCATCCTGAATCGATCTCGTACTGATATTAATCGGGACGGGACCGAGATAGCTATACAATATCGTGTCTCGTCCTGATGTCCCGTTTGAAATTAATATGTTACTTTAAGTTTCTAATGCTATGTAATAGCCAAACAAAATTAAAACTTTCTAGCCCTTAGTCTCCCTAGTGTAATTTTATCTTATTTCATGTCTCTTTTAGTCTCATCTTTTTTGTTTCTTTTGATTAAAATTTGTTTATTTCTCATTCCAATACTACTCCATAATATATTATTACGTGTGGATCGGACTATTATTTATGATGAAATAACTACTACTCCAAAATATAGTGTTGTTATAGATTTAATATTTTCCAAAATAACTACTAGAAAATATATAGTCTTTCTAGATATGATATTTAATACTCCGTATAAATTATATAATGTGGTATTGAAAAATTACAAGTGTACTACATAGTATAAAAATATTTTGCGCTACTATTCTACTATAAGAAACACAAGATTAGGGAGGACCAAAAAAAATTACAAGACAATAATTAAAAATAGTTAATTAGAGGTTTTACTTAACTTTTTTAGAAAAGCTGAATTTTCAAAAATACTTACGCCTTTATTTTGATTTTATGCTTATTTTTATATCACATTTCACAAATGTTTATTTTATGGGATATCCAGAATCATCCCGGTTTCTCTCGGGTTGTCCCGGTCCTGTTTTAAATGGGACAACATTAGGATAAAGACTTGTCTCGAACTGTACCGAGCCGTTATTAAAAAACGGGATCAGTATCGAGATAAGCCAAATCTCGAACCATCCCGGATCGCGCTCACCCCTATCTCTATGCCCTAGGGTTTTTGGCGTCGTAGCAACGATAGGCAGAACAACTCAGAACTCAGCGACGGAAGACATAAATGACTTATCACAAACTTAAACATGTTTTATATTTTTTCCTACGTTTAACTCATAGATTAAGAGATTTCCTATAAAAGTTTAGGTTATACATATAGGGGCATAGTTGGGGTTGAGGAAGGACAGTTGCCCCCATTGCTTCTCACACTTGATAATTGTAAAAATTCATTATTATAATTTTTAATATACTACTCCGTAGTATATAAAATGAACCATTAAAATAATACACAATAGGCCAAGAAAATCTATAAGAAGAAACAAATATATTATTACAAAAGAGTAAGGTTAATACCTTAAAATTATGTCCGACATTCGTTCAAAGAGATATATTCCTCAATCACAACTTTTGAGTTGAAAACTTTTGGGAATTGCCTCATTTTATTTTCATATAGAGTATAGGTTACATTAGAGTACACTTCACTATGAATTTCTATTTTTAGGAATTAGACTTGCCAACAAATTTTCAGATTTTTTGTTTAATACACAACCATTCATAGTAAGCAGATTCATATTTTGTGGCACTTTTGAAGTTTTAATTTCTAATTTTTGATTTCCTTCATTTTTTATCCTTAGTAAATACGATAGTATGAAGTATTTAATTAAAATTATCTCATACTTTCACATTTGTTAAATAAATAATAGTACGAAATATTAGCTAAATGTATTCCCAAATATTATCAAATTCACAAATTTATCCCATAATTTCACTTTTATTTAGTTTACAAACTTGTACTGCTTATATCTTATCGATATTGATAAAAATGTGTAATTTAAACAAAAAGCATAATTGTTGAAAAAGATGAAGTTTGATTCTTATTTTGATAAAAGTTAAAAAATAAGATAGATTTGTGAATTTGATGATACTTTAGAATAAAATAAGCTAATATATCATTTAAGGAAAGCAAATATGGCATTTACTTATATTTTGGAGAGTTCAAAATATTTTTTCCAGGCCAATTTTATTTCACTTATACATATAAAATGAAAAAGTATTTTTTTTGTGGGTGGGGGGACGTGCCCCCTGGGCCTCTACAAAGTCAGCCATTGGTTGGGAATCGAACCTTAAAATAAATTAATGACAAACGTGAGAAGGTGAGTGTAGTCCAATGGATGACCATCCACCACCAGTCTCTCCTTTGTGGGAGGTCTTGGATTCAATTCCCACCAAGGGAGATGAGGGAAGTCTTGCTCCCAATGATTCTTCCTACCTTCACGGAGTTGCTCAGCGGCTGAGAAGGGAGAGGATGGTAATGAAGGTAGCGGGTTCGTGTGGTGGGAGGAGCAACCTGAAAGGTGATGTAAGTCCTGCTGGATTCGTCCTTTGGAACCAGTACTGACGAGGCTGACTGTGATCAGATCCGGACTTAACTGTATAGGGGCTTTGGAGGATAGTTCATAGACTCCATGATTATGGGAGCGTAAGCTCCGACACCTGGATTATCAAAAAAAATTAATGACAAACGTACATGAGTTGAAATTTATACGTAGTACTTGTTAACATTTTATGAATTCATTTGTTAATACGGAGTACTTAATAGTAATGTACATGACCCAAAAGGCCAAAATGTACTGTTCTAGACTTGTAGTTATCAAATGAATTATAGTAATTAATCAAATAAAACTCAAAATATAACGTGTCTTCTAAAATGAAACTCAAAATACTAAATAAGAAATACTAGTATAAAACACCGTACATTTTTACAATATGAAACTCAAAATACCAAACAAGAAACCAGGAGACATCTTTAATAATTTTTGGGTGATTTGATGATCCCACATAACTCTGGAAAAGGGGGGAAGAAGACTACCTGACCACCGCCCTTTATTCCTCTTTCTTCTTTCAATTAGAAAAACTGTTGTCCCTTTGTGCATGCATTGTTTTGTTGTGAAGAATCTACGGAGAAGCAAAGCACTCCTTTCTTAGCTTTCCTAAATCACACAATCCAATAAATTTTGTAAAATAACCCGTTTGATAATATTGAAATTGGATCGATCATTGATTCTACTGAAATTTATGAAGTTTTAGCTGAAGTAGCTGACCATATTGATTTATGAAAAAAAATTATATTTAAAATATACTCTGTCTGTCTCACAAAATTCTTCAAACTTTCCTTTTCGGGCCGTCCCAAAAAATTCTTCCCACTTACCAGCTTTGAATAATTTGTGTGACTCACATTCATTTAACTTTTTTCTTACATAACTACGACCATACATTTCCACTTTATTCTCAACTCCTTAATATGTGTGCCAAGTCAATGTGAGAAGAATTTTATGGGACGGATGGAGTATCTTGTTAATAAAATACTCCGTAAAGAAAAAATCATATGAAAATAGGTAAAATGGTACTCTATCGTAACTTCATCCAATTCAACCAGAAAAATAGTTTCAACTTTCAACCTTATTTTGATTACTCCATATTACATATTTGAACACCCAAAATTAAAAGTTATGTGGTTGATGAAAAAATAGTTGATAGAGCTGATAATGAGCTTTAATTTAGAGCTAACTGCAATCTCTCCCCACATTTTGAATATATAAAATTGGTGCAACGAGCATTACCAAAATCTAGAATGAAGAAGAATCTACAAATCCACCTCCACTCAAACAAGATAAAGGCATAGCATGTGAATTTAAAAAGAGTAAATATATCTGGATAGCATACACACGTAAAGTAAATAAGCATAATTCAATATTTTACCAAAATTCCAATACTTTTATATGTAACTCCAAAGAAATACTAGGTCTATGAAATCTATGATACAATCATATATAAAGCCATGCATCCAAATACCACGTAGTAAAATGCTCAATGTAACATGCATGCCAAATAGTCTAGATACAATACAATCTTTAAGTTCACTACGAAATTGAAGAACCACTACTTCATGCATAATACGTAAATGGAGTTAATAGTGGAAGTATGTAGTGGGACGGGGAATTGAGTAAGAAACGTAAGGCTGCGGGCAGTAATTCTGAGTCAAGCAGTTTACTAGTGGAAGGTTTGGTGAACTCTTTTCCAAAAAACAGGTCGGTGACAGCTTCTGGTATCTAAACCCTCGGGAATCGTGAGTTGCCTCGGTTGGAACTGTCGAGGGCTTGGCAATCACACGACAGTTCAAGCACCGGTGGACTTGGTTCACCATAAGATGGAGGCCTTCTTTAGTCTTCGTGATGGACGCCTTTGCTAATAATACCTTCAAAGTGGAGAGTAATTTGAGAAAGATTGGTTTGGAATCTTGTTTTGTTGTGAAAAGTGTTTGGCACTGAGGAGGGCTTGCGTTAATTTTGTAGGCGGGTTCATGTGTAGATCCTTGGTTCTTTTTGTCACTTTAGTCATGAGGTGGAGGTGGAGGATCATGTATGTCCCAAGAGGAACATGCATAGAGAGTCATGTGATCACATGACTCTCTATATGATCTCCTACAATCATTAAGCGTGGGTGGAAATCTTTCATGAGTTGTCATGGTGGACTTCTACCATCTCATGTTTGCCTCTTACAAACATGGACAGATCCCTACTTTTTATAATTTCCTTTTTCTAATAAACTAGTGAGGTGTTTTCTGTCCCTCACCCCAAATACCTTCGGGATTTTGGTCTGCCACCGGGTTTCTAAAAAACGTGGACAGATCCCTCATCCGACATAGTTGTTGAATGGTTTATGCAGGACAGTTTGGGCGAGTGGTCTACACAGTTTTGCATTTCAAGGTACCAATACACATGGGAGCGTTGGAGGGGTTCTCCTGATCAAGTGGAGAAGAAACTTGATAGAATATTAGTTTCAGAGAGTCGGTTGGATGTGTTTGGGGAGGCTACCGTAGAATCTTTAGAAGGGTCATCTAGCGGATCATTTGTAGAATGTTTTCACCGAAGCGTAATTTAAATTTGAGAATGCTTGGCTTCGTGAATAGAACTGCAGTGCCCGTTGGGGTGGAGTCAAAGCTATGGGATAACGGTTCGGGTTTTACAGGAAAAGATTGGGGTTCTTATGCATGTGTTCAGACCCATGGGGGTTTGCTGAGTTTCAGAGGGTTGAACAGCAATATATATCTTGAACTGTTGGAGCAGGAAAACTATTACTGGAGATAAAGGGTAAAAGATTTTGGTTGCAGGGAGGAGATCAATACCCGATATGTCCATATTTTGTAAAAACACTGGCGGAGGAAGAATAAAATAGAGGGTTATAGATTGGAGGATGGACGGTGGGAGAGGAATCGAGTTGCACTAGGGCTCTGATTGGAGAATACTTCAGTAATATTTTTTCCTCGGGTCATGGTGGAGGTGATTTCGTTTTTGGCCTTTTGGGTGTGTCCAAAGAAAGTTGGAGGAGCATCATAATATTGAGTTATTGCGCCCTATTAAAAGAGGAAGTAAAGGTTGCACTATTTGGTATGTATCCATATTAGTCTATTGGTCTAGGCGGTACGAGCTCGGGATTCTTCCAACCATTACTATGATGTGGTGAGACCAAATGTTATTAGTTTCTTAAGAACGCTCTTTGAGATAGGTAAGTTACCAAAAAATATTAATCATAATGATATTTTGCTTATTCCAAGAAAAAAAAGATAACCCTGAGGAACGTAGAGATTGGAGACCCATGCCTCTATTTAATGTGATATATAAGATTTTTTCCAAAGTACTGGCTAATAGAATTAAAAAGTTGTTGCATTTGAGCATCTCTAAGCAACAAAGTGCCTTTATTCCGGTAGTCACATTGTTGATTATATTATGTTAGCTTTTGAATCTCACTATTGCTTAAAGCAGAAAAGGCAAGGTAAAATTGGGATCTGTTGCTCTGAAATGACACTCGGGCTTCGCAGAGAAATGGGTACTGTTGATTATGGAGTGTGTTACATAGGTCTTTATTTTACTCCATTTGATGATTCAAAGATCGGACCTATTTCACCTGAGCGATGGTTAAGACAAGAACATCCTTTGTCAACCTATTTATTTGTCTTAATTGAAGAGGGGTTGAGTGTGCTCCTCCAAATACATGAGGCTACGGGTCGGTTTCATGGGGAAAGCTATTGCTCGGGGGCACCGAGAATTACACATTTTTTGCAGATGGCAATATGCTATTATTTAAAGCTAATCATGAGGAAGTTGTTACTGTGAAGGAAACTTTACTGGATTATGAAGTTGCTTCTATCAAGAAAATTAAATTTAATAAGTCCATGTTTTTTAAACCAACGTGACGTTGGATTGTAGGGAGGAATTGATTGAAATGTTAGGAGTTGGAATGGCTGGGAGTGAGAAAAAATACTTGGGTTTGATGGCATTAGTAGTAGAGATATTTTGAGATATCCTAGACAAAGAGTGGTTATATCGCATTCAAAATTGGAATAATAGATTTTTATTGAGAGCATATGAGTAGGTTCTTGAGATGATGTCAACATTAGTCATGAATGTGTTTTTATTGTCTAATGAACTGTGCGAGGAGATAGAAGTGTTAATGAACATTTAGTGATGGAAAGGAATGTCAGGGAAGGGGGTAAGATGGTGGCATGGGTTTTAGGAGGCTTCGGGATTTTAATATGTCTATGATTGCTAAATAGGCTTTGAGATTTTTTTTATCTTCCGAGATGCTTGTAGGAAAGGTGTTTAGATCTCATTATTACCCCCTTTTTTACAACCAAGCTTGGAAATCATTTGGCGAAATTTATTTCAAACCCAAAATCTAATTAAGGGAACACTTGGTGACTTAGGGATGGGAAATCTATCGATGTTTGGGAGGAATCTTGGTTGCCTAATCTAGAGAATCCTAGGCCGGGTTATGTCTGTCTTGGGCGTGGGACAAGGAAAACCTTAATGACCTTTTTGTCAACAGAGATGCGTTGCTCATCCGGAGTATACCGTTGAGCATCCTTTCGGTTCCCGATAGATTGTGTTGGAGGTGGGAAGATGATGGTCACTTATCCGTCTAAAGCTGTTATCGAAAGTTGGTCGAGGAGTTGGATAATATTGAGTGATAGGTTGGACGACCATGTGGAGTTGGAAATTACTTCCGAAAATTAAAGTTTTCTTTTGACAAGTATGTAACAGATGCATGCTGACAATGGTGAATGTGAAGGCAAGGTGGTAAATTTCTTTGTGTCTTGTGATTTATGCGGGGACGAGGATGAACCGCTGATGCACTTCTTCATCAATTGTCCAGTGACGAAGAAGGCTTGGTCTTCTGTGGGTTGGCGTTAGTTAGCAATTTTGAGGATGAACTGAAACGCAAGTTCAAGTGAAGAAGAGGGAAGATTCAAGGAAGTTAATTTGGGGACGTTAGAGCCTCTTGATGGAGTATATGGCCCGGGAACCCCCGGCCCACAGACTCCTACTACTCCATCGAAGGCCCAACAGGCCTAACAGGCCCAAATCACAGCGCCCAGAGTACCAAGCAGCCCGCACTACGCGCCAGGGGTGCCTTCGGCCCCCTGGCCGAAGGGTCTAAAACTCTCACAGAACGGGTTTCTCAAGCAAACTAAGAAACTGGGAGAAAATGGCGAAAACAGTAGCCCTCGGTACTGTGAGCCCTCGGCACCAAAGTGCCCTCGGTTGGGGGAGCCTTCGGCTACTGCTCTATGGCCGAAGGCATCTCACTCGACAAGATATCCGCCTCACATGCGTACAGATCACCGTACTCTGCACAGACGTCCCATCCAACATCCACATTAAATGCGGCCACATGCGGGCTGCCAGCGCCAACCAGTTGAGGCGACCCCTCGGCCAATGAGCGCTTAACACGTGTCCCTGCCCGGCATTTATTGCTACTATAAATAGCCCCCCTTTTCCCCATTTGTAACCAAGTCGGAACACGCTGAAAACGCTCCACATTTATAATACACTCTCTCTCTATATATTTACTTGCTCTGTCTTCATTCTAGATTATTCCCCGTAATAACCCTTCGGATACATACCCCCGGGTAGACTATCCATCGTTTGGTGCTCTCGTTGAGAGGTTGAACAATCGAGTAAGAAACCCTCCCCCTCGACCAAACAAAACACTAACCCTCTATCAAAATGGTGAGGACAACACGTGCCAACTCAAAGAACGTAGAAGACAAGAACCTGCCCCTCGGCGACGTCAACGCCCCCGAAGCCTCTCACAGGGCTCTCGAGGGCGGTGTCCTCGCTGGGCTGGAACAGGCGGCTGTCGACCTACGCCTTCAGATCCAACAAAACGCCCCCGATGCCCGCCTCGGCATCGAGGCCAAGAAGAAAAACCGGAGCGATGACCAAGTCAGCCCTCCGGTTCTCACCATCGACGTACAATCGGCGCTCTCCGCCTTCATCCAGACGCTCACCCAGAACCCGGGTGCCTTCGGCACCCTGGCTCCAGCTCACCCTCAGATCGGGGAAAATATCATACTTCCCTCTCTGCCACCCCCCTTCGGAAATCCCACCCCTCGGGTGAGAAACGACGAAGGGGTGGTGGCCCAAGAAACGTCCTCCCAGGAAGTTCAGTCCCGGGACCACCATAATGACAACAGGGAAAGGCCCCGTACTTCCGCCCTCAACCGGCTCAGAGGAGGGCCAGACCGCCGAGGGGTCCAAGACCGCCTCGGGGGGAAAGCACTCCAAAGGCCCCAGGAAAGCGGGGGATCTGTTTCGAGGGCAGACGAGGAGCGTCCCCCTCGGGACAAAGGCAAGGCACACCTTCATACCGATGATGCCCGGCATCAAATCAATCAGGCCCACTCGGCCCGGGTTCGTTCACAGGGGGCGGAGACCCTCCCGAAGGACCCCCGGGACGAGATTATTGCGGCCCTCCAACGCCGGCTTGACGAGATGGAGTCCAACAAAGCTCACGCCACCACCTCCACCCCTCACTCAGATCTCAAATACGAGGCCATGATGGCCAAGATGGAGGAGTTACAGAAGAAGGTGGCCGAGGGCTCCGGGGAACCCGTCATCCAGCTCCGGACTCGGAAGCCATTTACCCCAAGGGTATTGGCGGCCCGGATCCCGGAGAAGTACCGAGGGCAACACATACAGCCCTACAGCGGGAAAACGGACCCCCAGGAGCACTACAGCAAATACCAGAACAGCATGATGATGGTGGGGGCATCAGACGAATATTTGTGTCGATGGTTCCTCTCCACCTTAGAGGGACCAACATACGAATGGTTCAACAGGCTGCCCGAGGGCTGTATTGATTCATGGCAAGAACTCGCCCAGCGGTTCTTAACACAATTTGCCGGGAGGCGTCGCACAAGGAAGCACTTCTCCCACCTCCTAACGATACGCCAGAAGAAGGATGAGACCCTTCGGGATTTCCTGGAGCGCTGGAGGACGGAGGCCGACAAGGTCGACGGTGCTGATGACGGGACCCTCCTGGCCCTCCTACAAACCGTCCTCCGCACCGGCAACTTTTCAAGGAGTCTCATCATTGAACCCCCCCGCGACTACATAAGGGCCTTGCAGCGGGGGGACCGATATGCTGAGGCCGAGGAGGTGGAGAAGTATCACCAGCATCCGGACCAGCAGCCCCCGAGGGTAGACAACAAGCACAACCGAGGGCCGGGGGCTCCCCCAAATCGCCCCAAGGCTTCGGGACCCTCTGATGACCGCCCTCGGCAAGGCCAAGCAAAGCCCGGGGGAGGCTATAGGAGCAACCCTAAGACTTGGGCCCAGCCCATTCTCCTGGACCGCCCTCGGACCCCATTGACGCACCCCGTCAGCATCATCCTCGATTTTGCCGAGGAGAGGGGCCTCGTTGAGCGCGACTCTCGCGCGCCCCCGGAGGTGCACGCTATCAACCCTCAGTTCCCATACTGTCGCTTCCATCGACACCAGGGGCACAGGACCGATGACTGCCATCAGCTGAAGACGGCCATCGAGAGATTAATACAGGCAGGGCACCTGTCCCAGTTTGTCCAGAGCCCTCGACAGGAGGGACCTTCTCATCAAGGACCTCCCCGAGGGCATCATACGAAGGTAAATGCCTGGGTGAATCCGAACACCATCCCCCTCGGCAAGAAGAGGGAGATTGGAAACTTGGAAGAAGAGGAGGAGGAATACCCCCACTACCAGGAGAAAAAACGCCACATCCTCATGATCACCGGTGGCAACACAGGGGGCGATCCCACCAGCCAGCGAAAGAAGTGGGCTCAATCGCTTTACGTAGGGGAAGTCACTCATATGCCCCCGGTAAAGCGATTGAGGGAGGAACCCATCACCTTCACCAACGCAGATCTCCCTCCTACTTCTTCTCCTCACCGGGATGCCTTGGTGATTCGAACGGAGATCAACGACACCATCATTCACCGAACTTACGTTGACACGGGCAGCTCCGTCAATGTAATGTACCTCAGCACCTTCAGAGAGCTGCATCTGGAGAGGGGGTCCCTTCGGCCCATTAAGACCCCTCTTGCCGGCTTCACCGGCGACACCATTGATTCCGAGGGGGTAATAACCCTCCCGGTGATCTTCGGCGACGGGCTCCATAGAGCCCAGCTCGAGGTGGAGTTCGTCGTCGTCAACATTGACTGCGCCCACAACATCATCCTCGGCCGGCCAGCCCTCGAGGACCTCGAAGCTATCATCTCCATGAGGCATCTCTGCCTCAAGTTTCCCGCCGAGGGGGGCATTGGCTACTGCCGGGGGAACCAAAAAATCGCCCGTGCCTGCTATCTTCAGGTCACTAAAAAGGTAAGCAAGACGGAATTCCGTGTTGACACCATCACCGGAGCCGTCGACCAGGAGGACAGAAGGCCGAGGGCTGAACCGGCCGAGGACGTAGAAGACTTTGCGCTCGATCCGGCCCAGCCGGAGAGAGTCGTGAAGATTGGAGCCCAGCTCCCTGAAGATCTAAAGACCGGTATCACCGACGCCCTCCGCGCCTACTCCACTGTCTTTGCGTGGGGGCCGGAGGACATGCCGGGAATCAGCCGAAGGGTCATCACCCACCGCCTCTCGGTGGACCCTTCGGCAAAAGCAGTACAACAGCGAAGAAGACCCTTCTCCGCCGAGAGGAGGGAATTTGTGAAGAAGGAGGTCGCCATGCTCCTCTCTATTAAGCACATCAAGGAGGTAAAATACCCCTCATGGCTAGCAAATGTAGTCCTCGCACAGAAGCCCCCTACCTTCCGCATGTGCGTGGACTACACCGATCTCAACAAAGCATGCCCTATGGATCCATTCCCTCTACCAAACATTGATCAATTGG